TGTGGAACTGCTCAGCAAGTGAGTAAAGAGCTTGGAGGGGATAAAATAGCTAATAAGACTATGGAATAGTAGAATTAGAATTGGTGTGGGTGAGACTGCCCTCCTGTCTAGCTTGCGGGAAAGCTAAACTAAGAAAAATAAGAGTGTGGCTTATTTCTAAATTTATCTTAGTGTTGATACTACTGTTATTGTTGCTTAAGAATACCTGTTGAGGAGGTAAGGAGTTTAAGGGGGTTTTCTGGGGAGTGAGGGTTTCTGAAGGGTGTCTCTGTTAAATCTGTTATAAATTCTCTCTGGTTCTCAGTTCTAATAAGACTCTCTGGTTTCTCTGGGCTCTGATAAAAGGTACACTTATTTCTCTAATTTCTTTCAAAGAGGTGAGAATGGCTAAGCAATATTTCTGAATTACTTTTCTATGGCCAAAATTGAGGTAGGGGAGGTTCAAGGGCTCTAATAATCTCTGGATTTCTTTAATCAAGGGGTGATGAAAGCTGAGTAATATCTCTGATTACTGTTCTGTAGCTAGCATCTGGTTTTGATGAGTGCTAAGTAATATCTCTAATTACTTCTCTGGTGCAAACATGAGGAGGGAAAAGGAAAACATGGGCCAGAAGAGCCTCTATTTATAGACAAATGGTTCTGCAGTACATGAGATTTTGGCCTGAACACAAGTGCGTCTGAGAAGGGTACTTCTAGAGTAGATTTTACTTCTCTGAGATGGGCTAATCTGATATGAATTAATCTCTAAGTGCCCTTCTAATACAAGAGATTGTAATTCTACTATATGAGGCCTATTCTTAGATTAATTAATATGAGAATGGTATTCTTAGACTAATTAGTATAAGAGTTATTTTCTAGAGCTAGTCTGTGAAGTATTTTCTGATCAATACCTTGATTTACCAATCTAAGATGGATGTAGTATCTTTTATGTGTTTTTACAGTCTATTTGTATAATTATTATTCATAAAGAGTTGTGTATTTTAGGCCTGATTTGTGCTTTATTTTAGCTATGTTTTAACCCAGTATTTATTATACCTTTTATGCTGTAATTTCCCCCTCCTTCTCTAACATCTTAAACACTATTTATGTGTAATAAACTGTTTTAAACTAAATCTATGGGTTTGATCAATCTTACCACACCGTAACAGTAAATATTATCTAGTGAAATATCATTATTGTTATTTCCCCCTCAAGGACTGCCAACCCATCCCAAAGGAGTTCTCACAACGTGGAGCTATTCCCTTGTAGAGATGTCACTTTGTACCCGGGTACCCGCCTCAAAAATCCATTTTTTTGGACACCCACACCCGCACCCTCACCCTCCAGGTCTTCCAGGGCGCCTACCCAGGTACCTGCAGGTGTGAAGGATTTTATGGGCTTCATTGAGGCTGGAGGGAACCCTCCTGCCCTCGAGAAAATGTACAGCCTTGATGACTGGAGGAATCCCTCCAGTCATTGAGACGGTGTACAGTCTCAACAACTGAAGGTATCCCTCCAGATGTCAAGACTGTAGTCAGTCTTGATGGCTGGAGGGATTCATCTGGCTGCCTCTGGCCATCAAGACCAACTACAGTCTCAACAGCTGGAGGGATACATCCAGTCATCAATACTGCCAGTGGATTCCTCTGGCCATCAAGAAGGTGTACAGTCTTGATGACCGGAGGAATCCCTCCGGCCATTAATACGGTGTACAGTCTCAATGACTGGAGGTATCCCTCCAGCTTTCAAGACTGTAGTTGGTCTCAATGGCCGGAGGGTTTCCTCTGGCCTCAACAGGCCCGTGTAGGACACTGACTGGTGTCCTACATGGGTTGCTGACACCTTTGTGCAGCCCAGCACTCCCAAAAAAGCATTCCCAGGGTGGGTTTCAAGGGTACCTGGTTACCTGCCATTTTTTTTTCCCAAATGTTGACACCCAAACCCGCACCCGGAACCCGTTTGCGGGTACTGTGAAAATCTGAGAAATAATATTGCCAAAACCAAAACAAAACTAAGAGAAAAAAAATCAGAATCATTGAAAAGAAAACAATAGAATCAAAAGACATGAGAGTGTATTTACCACAACAGGAGACAAATGTATGAGAAACAACTGAGCAAAAAATAGTGAGATAAAGACAAAGCACACAGAACTGAAAACAGAATCATGAGTTGATTGAACTGTAGAAGCTCTTTCTCACCAAATAGGATTCATTCAAGTGATCCTAGAGTTGAGGAGAGTTGAGTAGAAGGGATTGATTTCAAAGTTGGAGTAGATGAGAAGTCAAGAGCGGAGTTTGTGTTGAGGGAGACAAGGATTGAAGGGAAGCGATGGTGGAAGCGGAGATTGATGGAAGTAGTCCGGAATGGAGGGATCAAGACTGGGTGAAAAGGAATGGGTTTTGGTTGATTGAGTGAAGGAGAAGAGAAAGTGAGATGGGATTAGGTTTTTGTTGGTGAGATTAGGTTTTGTTTGATGATAGATTGAGTTTTGTTTTGGAAGGAAAGAAGTGGAATGGAAGAAAAAGAAATTGAAGTCGGGATTTCACAGTGGGATCATGAGAGTTCCAACAGGTACCCACTTTGGAAAACAGGTACCGGGTACCTGCTGACATCTCTATTCCCTTGGAAATTTGCCACAGAATATGTTGGGATTTATTATATTTGATACCCAATACACAGTTTTCAAATACTATTTATTTTATCTGATGATATTAACAGATACATCAGAAATACATGTATTTCAATCCAATACATGAAATAAAAAATTCATGTATTGTATCTGTTGCACTGTTGCTGCTATGTGCCAGTGTATGACAGGTACCTGCCGCCCAGTGCTGGGTACGGGTGTGGGTGTCCAAATTGAGTGAAATTCCACACAGGTACCTGAACCTGGACATACACTCTTTGGCAACAGCCTGAAGACAGAGTCAGCATTTCAGAGGGAGATTCTTCAGGGCCTGTCTGTGTCAGACTTTCCAAGCAGCCTGGAAAGTGCTACACAATTGTATACTATCAGCATAAATTTTCATTCAAGAGGTTGATAAAGCGTGATACCTTTTATTGGTGGTGCCAAAATTTGAAGAGATGATCTCTATCCTGAATTATGCTCACATCAGTATACTTAGCTCATCTCACTTCTTAAACACTAAAAAACCAAACCCGTCCTAGACAGTAGCAATAACCATACTAGGTAAATTCCTAACCCACAGTCATGCTATAAGTTTATGATTATGCACTCACATTATTGGTATATGACTGTGTTTATGCATATAGCTGCTGTATTCAAGGAAAAATAAAAACAAAAAAACAGATAGGAAATAAATTATCCCAGGGCAATCCTGATTTGAGACAGATGGACCATCATGACAGAAATTCTGAATTTGGGACATCCTACTGCCCAACTTCCTGTCTGCTCAACAAAATTTAAATTCTTCTGGTTTTTAGAGTGAGAAATACCATTGTATGCTTTGACTCCAAGTACCATTGATTGAGACACTATGTTGATCATAATAGTGGTCAAATCAAGTTCTTGAAAAAACAAACTGTCCATTAACTCATGCAAACATATTGACCAGTTCAAACTCTTCTTTCATTAGACGCTACCAAGTAAGTCATAGTTACTGATGCTTTGAGGAGTACAGGTCCCTAGATAATATATTTGGTTAACAATCTTTCTAGATTGGGAGAAATTTTCCAGCTTCACAAGGGCCTTCAATCCCAAAAAGGTTGCCACAGCAAACAAGATAGATTGACTTGAATGTGCCCAAGATTCAATTCTCCTGACTCTGACAGCCGCTCTGAGTAGACCAAGATGTTGCTTTGTTGCACTATCAACTCCCAGCATCCTGTCATTTATGTAATAAACTAGTTTGACCTTTTTGAGCGCCACGTCACTGGAACATAGGATCTGTAGTCTTGGATCAACGGTGAAACCAATCCAATCCAATACGGTATCAGACAATTTATTGGATCAGATTGATTTTTCAATACCACTGACCAGGTATCAAAAAATAAGGGATGGGATCCGATCCCATGGTATTGGATCAATTTGGATAGGGATCGGGATCACATTCAAATCCTGATCCAACACCCAAAAGCTTCAGGCCGCATGCCTCACGCTTTGGTATCATCCAAATTTTAACCAATCCAATCCCTGGATTGGTATTTATTGGGGATTGGATCAAAAATGGACCCAATACAGGGTATCGGTATTAAATAGCTCCACCCAATCCCAGTTGTCCAATAAAATGGGATTGGATTGGAGATTGATTCAATCCCAATACCCAGTATTGGGTCCATTTTTGATCTGATCCCCAATAAATACTGATCCGGGGATTGGATTGGTTTCATTGTTGCTTGGATTGAGGCAGCTGATCTGCTCCCTCCCATTTTTTTGCCAGAACGGCACGTGGTTATTGACAGATCAGAGCCCACACCAAAGACCCTGCTCACACAACTCGCCTTGATTGATTCATGGCTACCCCATGGCACCAATCAACAATTCAAAACACTAAGCTTGGCCTGCAGGGAGTACAACCACATGGGAGATGAGCATCTTGCATATTGATCATCTTCAAGTATATGATCCCTCTCCCCTTCCAACACCACCCGGGTAATGCTTGTGCCATAGAGCATAAATTTTTAGGATGCTTATGCACAGCTCTATGCTCTCCAAATGTTGGCTTTTTCAAATCACGAGCTTGCAAGAGATAGTTTGCCTTGTCATTCAGACATTGGACAGAGGATGTGGCTTGGATTTTGCGAGCAACCTGGGGTCCACCATCATGTGATCAATTGACATCAGTGATAGAGAGTTGGCTTGAATTTGGATTGAATCTGATGGACTTTGCATCAAAGGCCAATAGAGTACTTACTAGATCACCAAGACTAGTAAGTCTGCGGATTGAGTTTGTTGGGTGGAATCCAGACAAATTGGAAGCGGGGTAGGCTGATCCTGTGAATACTTTATGATCAGTGTTTGCAGGAATGGGTCAGGTAGTGACAAAAAAGATATTGTCCAGCGGGTGGTTATAGCCTTCAACATGCCACAGTTGACCATGGGTTTGTTGCTGGTAACCCATCAGCACTAGATGAAGTGATATAGTTTGTGGGGACTCTCTTCATCTTCAAGTTGAGAAGAGCCAGGTTCGGAGGGTCCCGACACAGGAGGGGTGGAGCCAACCATTCTGCCTTCACTGTCACGGATGATTGACAGTGTGTAGTGATAACACAGTCGTGGGACCTTTTTGTTACTGTAGCCTGGGTTGTTTTGAAATATCACCGGGCATTTTGGGCAGATGTAGTTCCCTTTATCAACAATGTTGGGACAGTTAGGCCGGCATTGGCCTGTGGAGGAGAGTCGGAACTGCTCCATCTGCGCTGATGTGCATGGACTACCGTATGCGTTGCAGTTGGGGCACCTGGGCTTTTGTTGGGCAATGGTAACCGTGGTGGCTAGCACAGCCAAAGTGATGAGCAGATCGCGAGCGCGGAGGTACATGGGGTCGAGGGGTCGAATTTGACGGGGATCGAAGCTGGGCAGTAATTGATGAGTATGGTTGAGGGAGGGATGTTGAGTTCCGCTACACTACATACGTTGAGGGGTGGTAGGCAGGCTCAATTTGAGGCTATATGTTGGGATCCAGTCAGTGGAAAAAGGGAGAGTGGATATCGTTGAGACAAGTATTGGAGCCGAACTTAACACAAGTCCCTCCGAGGAGGTCGCTGCGGCGACCTCCGAAGGAGGAACTTGCAGCTAAGCAGTCAAGTCTGGCTCGTGAGGTATGTCTAACCTATTCTGTTGATTTTCACTTTTTTTTACTTATCGTTACTTTACTATGATGAAGCTGTTTTTGGAATGAAAAACGGTCGCCCCTGTGGCATTGCGCCGACCGCACGGAGGAGAGACCTTGCGGGGCTGCCCTCTGGGCTCTCACTCAGAGGCTGGTGTTAGGATCGCGCAAGCGGATTTGACGATGATTTGCAACGTATTGTGCTACAAGGCATTGCAGAGGGCGACGAATGACAATGGTTAACCGTCGACTGTACATCGCCTTTCAGCGTCGGAGGATGCACTTGATTTCCTATGTAATACATCAAGTTGGCACGGCAAAGATGCCCATGGATCCGGTACTTTTTGGGATCCAGAGGCGCTTGGAGCGTTGCTACATAACGAGCTCTTGAACACATTTTGAGGATTAATAACCAGAGAATGGCTTTCAGCCCCCTTCAATGGGCTTTCTGTCCTGGTGATGGCGGGTGATCGCGTCTCAAGTGGAACGTTGCAAGACTACACCACTATGGACAGACTCTGATAAATAGAGAAGGTATGTATCCACCTTGGACGGCCGCAATCCCTCCCCGCAGACGATCTTTCCCGCTCGAAGCCGACCTGAAGATCACAAAAACAGACCCCCCCCATACCAAGCTTTTTCAATACACATCGATTCTCGTTTTCTTTCATCTGTTTAACTGCAATCCACGATCACCTTAATCTCACCATGCCATCCATAATATCCATCATGTTCTTTGCGATTCTCGCTTGCGGGTTTGCAACTGCAGATTTAGCAACAGACCAAAAAATGACGTGCGCATTTCATTGTCCCACGCTTACGGAAGGAGGATGCGTAAGAAACACGGGCCGGGACAAGAAAGGGAATGTAAACAAATGGGAGGGTGAGCTTTTCTTTTTGTCGTCTCAGCTTTTGCCTGGATCGAAATCAACGCACACAGACCCCAAAAAAAAATTAAATAAAATCTCATCATGTTTCATTGTGTGAAATTATGACAGTCGTCAAAGCATTTGCCACTCTTGGCTACGCCGAATATTACAATTGCCTCGGCCTCAACGCGGACCTCAGCGTTTGCGCTGAGATGGGCAAAATCGTTCTGCCTCCCTCCCCCCAACCCCAAGTGAGTTACATGGACTCCTATTTAGATTGCATCATTCACTTGATTTTCAAATCAGACATACATAATAGCTGACTCCAATGCCTTTTAACCTACTCACTCGACATAGGTGATGACCATCAACTCGGAAAAAACCAGGAAAGAGCTTGGTGAAGACTCTAAACCTTTTGACATCACTGCTGGAGACCCAGAGGAGTGCTCCTACACTCCCTGAGAAACATATTCAAGATCTCTACTTCAGCTATCGGGGCTACAATGCTCATATTAGCACGGCCCATTACTTGTACTTCTATCATTTCCTCATACATCAATTTCCTACCCTTTAATCAAACGATGACTTGTATTTAGCCTAGACACTTTGTCTTTACATCTGGTATTGTAACTCAAGGCTTCCTCTAAACATTACGTTTCTCGTCAAGTTTATTCGAGCACAAAAAAGATCAGCGAATTCAAACATATGTTCTAAATTCAATTGAACAAATACTTCATAGTTTTTAATGAAGAGAGTTTCATGGTCAAGTAAAGGACAATGTCAAATGACCTGTGTAGCTTTTTCTGAAATGATAATGGTACATCTTCTCAAGTTTGCAAGGTTTGTGACCCATTTGTACAAGCACACAACCAGTGTATATAGAGTGCACTTTCAAAAGGGAAAGAAAAAAAAGATGTATTGCACATATTTTTTCAGAAATATTTTGAATGGTCAAGCAATTCCCATCCAAATAGTGCTTGTTTAATCAAGAAATCCTCTCCTCTTCTTCAACTAACAAAGGTTGAGCCAAACCAATTTGATCCAAGGGAATGTCTGCACTTGATTGAATCCTCAAAATCACACCTGATAGGGCAACATATACCTTCCTCAAAGGATATCCCCAAGAAACATGGGAGAGGTCCTTCAAGGATGGTGTACACTAATTTCAAAACATCTCTCCCAAACTTGCAAAACTTGCCAAAGTTTGCCCCATGCACCCTCAAACTGATTGAAGTTTGACTTCCAACAAAATCAAAAAAAAAAAAAACAGGTCTTAGTTGTTAGAGGTAGAGTTGGGGATTAAGGATAGGGTGAGGGATAGGTGTTAGGGATAGGGTAAGGGATAGGTGTTAGGGCACTAGTTTCTTTAAAAGAAATGTTGATTCTTGGGGTGCTGGGAGAAGTTTGCAAAGTTTGAGATGTTGCAAGATAGGTGTCCACCATCCTTGAAGGACCTCTCCCATGTCACTTGGAGAAGTCCTTCAAGGATGGTACACCACGGGGCGAGTTTTTTGAAACTGGCTCCATCCGCTGGACGCTTTCTCGAGGAGAGCGTCCAACGGATGCGATCAGAGCGTCCGAGGGACGCTCTGGCGAGCCAGCATCACTTGGATGCTTCCAAAAGCATCCAAGTGACGCTGGCCAAATATGAAGCGTCCGATGGACGCTATGATCTATCGTCCATCGGACACTCTCCAACCAAGAGTGTCCGATGGATGACTGTTTTCAGTGTGTCCATTGGACACTTTGAGTTACAATTCCTGATTGGAGCCGGTGGTCGATGGTCGAAAAAAGCTTCAAAAGTTTGGTTGATGGTCGAAAAAACACTGAAAATGCGGTCGATGGTCGAAAAACACTCCAAAAGTGTGGTCGATTGTCAAAAAACGCTCCAAAAGTGCAGGTGTAGTGATTGTCAAAAAAAGCTCTAAAAATGCACTTGATCATCAAAAGAGGTGTGAAATGGCTTGCTCCAAAGTGCAAACTTGGTCTATGGATGTAGATTCGGTGATACCTGGAAGAACAATCTGCATAGTACAGTTGGCAAGGAGAAGCCTTGTGGGTGTGACATGGGGCCGCCATGAGGTCTTGGGTTCAACTCTGATCCTGTTCACTTCTTTTTTTTCTTTTCATTGCAATCAAAATCATCCATTGGACGGCTTGAAAACTATCCAGTGGACAGTTTTCCAGAAACCGTCCGCAAACTGTCAGGCAGAGTAGTGTCCAATGGACACCCTCTGCCCTGCAAGTTCTGGACACCTCAGATGATGTCCAGAAGAGTGCCCATGGGACATCAGAATAGTCCCGTGGTGTATATGTTGACTAATTGGGTGCAAACTCATACTCCAGGTGACCATTGAAGAAACAAACATGGACCATATCCATTGAATTTTGCAAGAGCAAAACTTGAGACTAGCAATGAATTGAATCTCAAGTCCCACCCTGATGGTACAAGTACATACACAGTGACATTTGTGAGTGATTGAGCCAGCATGAGGACTTTTTTCCCTGATCTTGTTGTCTTGGGGTGTTGTGCCTTGTCCACATGCACTCTGGACACACTCTTTCACATATGTGTCCCACGCTTGAAGCTGTGCTCAACCTCAAACACACACATCTCACCCCTCCTCAATATGTATGGAATCGCTTTGGAGCTTGAAGTACATCCAACTCAGCACATTCTTTAATCTTATCCACAAGACTATTTATTGGACTGAAAAGGACCATGGTGATCCCTGCGTAAACACACTTACTTCAATCTGATTCTGGGCATAAAAACAATCTTGCTACATGAGAGAATTGTTTTTTTTTTTTTTTCTTTTGATGAAGAATGCAGTAATTTAGATATGTACCTTTCAGATGGGCATGTTTACCCAGGGTATAAAATTGAAAAAGCTTTTCTGACCTCAATTGTCTCCCTTTTCCTTTTTCTTTTTTGTTCCTCCACTGAGATCCCGGGTATTGTTGGCGGTTTGATTTACATAATTCCCTCCTTTTTCTATTCTTTTTCTCAAATCTGACAAGATTCCTAATCTATTGTTGTGATCATAAGGATATTAGTTGGAGAAGACAGAAAGCATGGAAATTTTGCAAAAACTGGTGCCGACTTTTTATTTTTCAGAAGTGATAGTATCATTTGTGGAAAAGAAAGTGATTTTGTTGCATTTTTTGTGTGTGTCCAATATAAGGCGCTTTCTTGACCTGATTTGTCGGCTGTTTTGCGCACACATCAGACATATCTTTTCTCTTTTCATTTTTTTTGATCACTACAAATTCAAGTCAGTTTGAACATGGAAAAAAAAGCGACTCGGAAAAACGACTCCCGTTTTTTCGCCAACGACTCCCAACGACCGTCAGCGGACGTCCGTTGGGAGTCGTCTTCTAAAGTGTGGGCGGATTCTGGGAGCCGTCCGCCCAATTTCAATTTCAATTTTTTTTTATTTTTTTTATTATTTTTTTTGGGAGTCGACTCCCCAAACCACCCCTCATGTATGAGGGGGTTTGGGAGTCGCTCCCATTTGACCGGAAGGAACCCCTTCCGGTCAGTGAGGAAGCTAAACCTCATCGACCGGAAGGGATTCCTTCCGGTCGATGAGGGAGATATCCCTCATTGACCGAAAGGCATCCCTTCCGGTTGATGAGGAGGCTAAGCCTCATTGACCGGAAGGGATTCCTTCCGGTTGATGAGGTTTAGCTTCCTCATTGACCGGAGGAGAGTCCTTCCGGTTGATGAGGAGGCTAAGCCTCATTGACCGGAAGGGATTCCTTCCGGTTGATGAGGTTTAGCTTCCTCATTGACCGGAGGAGAGTCCTC